AAACCACACAAGTTGCAGTCTGAATCAACCTGTATTTCAAACAAGAACACCACATAAAAAACAGCACTGGCTTTGCAATAACCACCACAACACAGGTCACACAATATGACAATGTGGCACAATGTATGTTTTTTCACACATCTCATTAGAAAACTGTTTGTCATACGGTCTGTAATAAATCAGCTCTTTAACTGGAAAAACAGAATATGAATCTGCTCTCTCATCGACACAGTATGCATTGAAATGATCATCAAAATAAAGAGTATCCACTCTGCAAGTCAAAATGAAAGCTTGCTCATCATGTATAATGATTTTGGTGACCTTTCTGAAAATGGGAATTTCTGTATTTGTTCCAGTAAAAACAAACATACCAATCTTATATTCTGTTCCATAGTTCTTCACCCAATTAGTGGTTGACACTTCAAAGTATGCATTTACATTAAAAACAGAACTTAAAACCGCACCTCCCTCCAAGCTATATCAATAATTGCTTTTTTCACTGGACCAAACTCAAATCTCTGAAAATCAAAATTCTCCCAGTGGTAAGCTATCTGTCTCTGGTGTTGTTTCACCAATGTTTTTGTGATATTTTTGAAATTTTTCACTGACCTTTTAAAAAAATTATGTTTGGCCTCAAACCTCATGCACCATACGTGAAGGAGCAGACCTATTTTTCTAATACAACGTGGATAATATAGCATGAAATGATGCTTTGGAATCAATCTTTTCTGCCTCATCCATTTTCAACCCACTTGGCCTATTTTTTCTCTCAATATAACCATAGTTGAAACTTTGGATCCTCTGTGACAATGATTCTAATGACAGATATTTCTGGTTGACAAGGTATTGAAAGACAAGTTTGAGTTCGTACTCTACTACACCTTCAAGTAAATCATGCATTATGTCAACTGCATAGTTGTCAGAGGTGTGGAAAAAATGCAATGTATTGAGCAAGCATGTCTTTTTGACACCAAATGTTGAACCCAACATAGGATCTTCCTGTAGAGCTGCACAATGTTCTGCACTTCTTTTGTACGAAAAATCATGCCAGGGTTAATGCGTTTCATTTACTTACCACAAAGATACTCTGTTGAGTTGAAGCGAAAAGAAAGTCGTCGGCTGTCCCCGCTGGATTCGCCCCGCTCTTTAGGAAAACACGTCACAGAAGTTGGAATTCCCGGAGTTGATTTTAAATCAACACTTAACAGAGTTGCTTAGATTTAACTCACTGGATTAACAACAACTCTTGTGAGGAACTAACTCTCACATAGTTGAATTAGACTAAGCAAGTGTTGAATTGACACTGTATTTTTAACACACAACACCGGAAATCTAACACTTTTGATTTTGCTGTGTAGTCTTTATTTAAACATTTGTATTATAAAATCCCAAACAGGCTAGCAGACTGTCTTGGTGGAGTAAGTACCATATTAATTATTAAGGCTACAGGCAGGTGTCACGGCCCTGGCCTCCTTCATGCCACTGGTGGGCATAAAACTCTTTATTTGAAACTTCACTCTAGTCTGCGCCTGAGTCCCGGTCACCATTCCTGACAGCAGGTTACAGTTTTATTACTGACCATATAGCAGTAGAGGTTTATAATGTTACCATTACACTGGGTTTGAGAGGCTAGAAGGATGTGTTAATTTACAGTGAATTATAATCTTTAGTTGGGGAATTATACAACATGGTTATACTCATATTATTATACAATATTTTCCTGTTACCATGAGTAACTGTAGTCTATATGTAGTCTATACATTTTAGTTGTGTTTTAATTAATTGTTTTATTATGTTTGTATTTTAATATGTATAGTTTCTTCGTTTCAAAATGTTAGTCAACATTGTAAATTAGAGCCAGCCCTCAATGATTTTCATGTTTAGATATATAAAACGGTTTTTTTGTTATATTCCTCTGTGCTGCCGTGCCAATTTGAATTTCCCCTGTGGGGGAGTCAGTCACATCTTATCTAATTTACGTACATAATGAGTTAAGTCCTGTATTAAGTACAGTACATTTGCTATTCAAATAGTCTCTTCACCTTCCTGGTGTGTCTTTTAGTGAGAGACATAATCGACAGCCTTCCCACATGTTAATATAGCTGGATGTGCAGCTCCAAAGACATTTCTTTAAAGTCAGAGGACGCTGATCAGACAAACACTCCCTGAACAGAGAAAACACAACCTTTACACAACCAGAGAGAGCCTTCAATTCTCATTACTTCCAGCTGTTAAGACTCTGAGCAACTTCCAGGTAAGGACCAATGTGGTAAGGTGTTGATGGATTTTAGGTCACAGATGGTTTTATGAGGATGTGTATTCCATGTAATGGAATTTTCTGATGTTTCAAATATTTATACACAATGTAACTGTTGATGCTGATTTTGGACCTCAAATGGTATTCTTCTTGTAGTATGTTGATTTTATCTTGCATCTATATCTGACTTAATGGTTAAATATTTACACTCACCGCCCTTTTTTAACTTTGAGATTGTGATCTATGATATAGGCTGCATTGCACACAACAACTACACATTGTACAGTAATTTACACAAAAACATGTAATGTTTGTCGACTATATGAACATTTATTTGCTTATCTACATTTTTGCGCTGTTTCAGCCTTGTGTGATGCCACCAGACATTTATGAATGTGGTGACGTTTGATAATGACCTCTGTCCTGTGGTTTTCAAGGCCAGTACATTTGAACTGTAATCACCCAATCAGTAAAGAAGAAGGGCATATCACACTAATCAAGTACTGATTGGCCTAAATGGCTGGAATTTCAAACAGCAGGAAAATTACGACAAATTGTGATCCTTTCAGCCTTCCAACAAAGGGACTACACAGCACCTACATTTAGCAGTAAGTGGCTAAAGGTAAAGCTATATGCCCATCAGAAAACTCAGTAAATCACCAACAACTAAAGCAGAGCAACTGGTTTAAAGGGGACTGTGTAGATTGAATCAGTTAATTCAAACTCAACTGGAGTGGACGCAGTGCAGTCGCGAGTTACAACTTGTGACTGTCAAAGCTTTTTCTGGTTAGAGTTTCTTACAAAGGCTCACTCCTACCTTGGTTTGTAAAAAAAAATCTTCATCTCATTTACTTGGAGAACTCCGCTCACAGCAGAATGAGGATCAAGTCAGTGACATTGTGACCAGTGCATTTAGTAAGGGTGGTCTTCCTCCACCAGCGACCAAGAGATGCCGTGGTCACCACAGCTAATTAAACCCATTCATAGTACAGCTACAGATAATTTAAGTGGTTGGACAGATACAGATACTAATAATGGTGTACTCGCTTATCCCCAATGAATAACTTAATTAATAAAGTTCTTTGGGGACACCACCTATAAAGAAGGGAAAACAACGGCAACTAATTGATCTATTGTCAGTCTCATAACTAAACTATAAATACGGAACTCAGTTAATAAGTAAATGAATTATTAATTATGACAAGAGGGGAAGTGTGTGTGTGTGTGTGTTTCTGGGTGCACACCGAAGGAAAGTTAAGCAGTCCTGTGCTTAGCTGTCGACACTGTTAAGCTACATGAAGCTATTCATGCCCAGCTATGTTACCAGTCTGTAAGGAAGAGAGGTTGCGTTGGTGTGCTGCTTGTTAGCCGGATATTCCATGAGCCAGGTTAGGGAAAGTTGTGTTTCTGATGTCAGAAAGTCTTTGCTGTGCAGTCTGATGGCGTAGGAGGAGACAAGGTCACTCGGAGCATTGTTTCGTTGCAGAGTTAGCAGTTAGCAAGTCAGCACTAACATGCATGTTGCTCTGTGCAGTCTTTGCGTGTTGCATCGGCAGGTCTGCTCCAAGCAAACCGCACTGAGGTTCAGAGAGCCATCGGGTCAGGTGAGGAAGAGGAGAAAAGAAAGGGGGGAAAAAATGACCAGAGATTTTGTGGCAGCTGGTCAACGCGTCATTGTGGGGCAATAAAGTATCTATCTATCTATCTATCTATCTATCTATCTATCTATCTATCTATCTATCTATCTATCTATCTATCTATCTATCCGTCTGTCTGTCTGTCTGTCTGATTACAGCCACAGGAAGTGACCTGGGGAGACAAATTAATTTGTAAAGTTCCTGTGGTCCAAACAACAATTGTGACCCAGATACTCTGTCAGTGGCCACCGCACCGTGTGGGAGCAAGGCATAGTTAATCTACATGCTCGGGTGTCAATCATCCAGTAACCAATCATTGAAAAGTTGACCCCTTGACACACTTTGAATGACAGCCCCCTTCATTGCATAATGAAACAGAAATGCATAAAGCAATGTAAAAAGACAAAAATTAATAAGATATTAATGGAAAGGGAAAACCATAAAGAGATAAATAGATAAATAAATACATTTAAAAATGAATAAAATAAATAAATAAATACAAAAACAAATTAAAACTGCAAGCAGTGAAGAATGGGCCCTCGCACTACACGCAACTCGGAGTGTCCTGCGGCTGCATCACGTGCAAGTGTAACATGTGGAAACCACGCCATGAACATTGGCACTTAGATGTGTTTAGAATAGAATAGATCTTTATTGTCATTGTCACAGGTACAATGAAATTTAAAGTGCTCTCCAGTCAGTGCATCATTCATAGAAAAAAAAAGAAATATAAAATGATAAATAATTAATTTAAGTGCTAGTGTTACCTAAAAAAATAAGTAGAAACATATAACATCATTAGCAGCATACATAGACACACATAGTCATACACACCCAGTCATTGCATAAAACAAAGAATGAACACACAGTCATTGCATAAAAACAGTATGATCATTCATCTGCAGGCATGCATACCATCTGTCCTTGCATTGATCCATTTAATATAGAGTCCATATTGCACTTTATTTTTTGCAGCATTGCTGGTAGTTATTGCAGTTGGATAACAACTGTGTTTGAGTCTATTTGTCCTTGCTTTAATTGATCTGTACCTTATGCCTGAAGGCAACAGTTCAAACAGGGAGTGACCAGAATGGTGAGTGTCCTTTATGATGTTCTGGGCTTTTTTGAGGCAACGGGAACTGTGTAGTTCTTCCAGTGTGGGGAGAGGGCAGCCGACAATCTTTTGAGCGATGTTGATGACCCTCTGGAGCACTTTCCTCTGAGCCGCTGTGCAGCTGGTGTACCATACGTATATGCAGTATGTTAGTATGCTCTCAATGGAGGCACGGTAAAAGGACCCCAGCAGTCTTTGTGTGATGTTATTCCTCCTGAGTATTCTCAGGAAGTACAGTCTCTGCTGGGCCTTTTTCAACAGCTCAGAGGTGTTCACACTCCAGGAAAGGTCCTCCTCGATATGGACTCCCAGGAAGCGGAAGTCTGCCACCCTCTCCACACAGTCCCTGCTGATGATTAATGGTGGGATCTCTGTTTTATTTCTCCTGTAGTCTATGATGAGTTATTTGGTCTTTGAGGCGTTGAGGAGCAGGTTGTTGTCCCTGCACCATGTTGACAGCCGCTCCACCTCATCTCTGTAGATGACTCGCCCTCCCCCCTGTTAAAATGCAAGGCCTAGAAATGGCAGCAGAATTTGACATTCAATTCAAAATGGCCGACTTCCTGTTGGGTTTAGGATTTGGCTCCAATAGGCATTTTTGTACGTCATGACATGATACATATGCCTGCTAATTTTCATTCATGTCTGCGAAACGGGACACCAGGGATGCTGAAAGTTTGTAGGGAGCGCTATCGAGCACACCCACGTGCGAGACCCAGATGAAATGTAAAATGCTGCCATGTGGGTCGTGTGTGCCAAGTTTCATGACTTGTTGAGCCTGTTTATCACCATTTATGATCATATGTTAAAACAACAAGGTGATGCTGCCTGCGTCGGTACGACAACACAGTTCAATAAAAATTCGTAAGACTCATTGTCAACAGTCTAAGGGTCTTCTGACCAAATTTAAGCTGGATGTGGTCAATCTGCAAGGAGAAATACATAAAAGTGTAATAAATCATATTTTCGGTTACCACCAAGTGGCGCTACCACTTTTAATGAATATTGTCACATAGATGTGTTCAGGGCAGGACTCTTATCAGGCACTTGAAGTTCGGTGCCAATTGGACACTCATGATGTTACAGCAAATTCATGTGCGTCCACGTTTGACGCCATGTCGCGGACACGCCCTTCAATGACAACTCACCACATTTATCACATATCATCAACAATATGTTTTGCATTTTCTGACCAAATTTCAGCTGAATCTGATCAACCTGCTAGGAGCAGAACGTGATAGTATAAAACATTTAATTCCTGTTGCCAGTAGGGGGTGCTATGAGTATGACTGAACTGTAGACATGTTCAGGGTGAGATTCTTATCAAACGTGAAGTTTCGTTGAGACTGGACCATGTACGCCGAAGTTGTGACAACTTCCTATTTCATGGGAAAACGTCACAAATTGGCGCTACACCTCAGGCACGCCGTTTGACGAACAGTCACAAACAGCACAACGTTTTAATCGTGAATGTCTTTAGATTGCAATGTCCAAATGTGAAGTCAATCCGATGAATTCCCTAGGAGGAATCTGTCCAAATACAACACCAAAAAGGTCTGTGTATCTTTTCGTCATTCGATTTTCCTTTCAGAAACGGGTATTAAAACAGAAAACAAGGGGTTATTTGATTTTTGTTTTAAAATACAAAAATTAAAATTGAAATACAAGGCGTTTTTCTTTTTCATGGTCAAAAAGGGATGAGCAAAATGTAAAAAATTATTTGATTTTCTTATTCTATTTCATATAACAAAAAATAAAATCGCTAGAAAACAGAAACGAAAAAAGGCCTGTTTTTTCATATTCTGAGACCGGATGTTGTCGTTTACAGGACGGTGCTGTGTAGAAGAAACAGTAGGCTAGTAGACTGCGATCAATCCAGCCGTGAGTCCGATCTCCGTGGTCAAATCAGCCGCACTTAAATTTCGAGTGTACAAGTATTCTCAGCATTATGGTAAATGCGGAGAAAAAGCATATTTACTTCCGGTTTTCAAAATAAAGGTATTTAGAACAGTAAGCTATAATTCGAACCTACATTTAAAATAAAATATGTTACATTAAAGTGTTTCATGCGCCCCGATGAATAAAAAACATGTCTTTAGATTGCACTGATTAAATTTGAAGTAGATCAGATAAATTCCCTAGGAGGAGTTCGTTCAAATACAACGCGAAAAATCACAGAAAATGACCAAAAAATTCTAAATGGCTGAGTTTGATGCCACGCCACGGACACTCCCTTCAACGTACATGCACAAATAGCACAACTTTTAATCAGCATCATTTTTTGACTGTACTCACAAATTTTGAAGCAGATCTGATAAATTCCCTAGGAGGAGTTTGTTCAAATACAACGCGAAAAGTTCGCCGAAAGTGAAAATGAAAATCAAAATGGCCGACTTCCTGTGGGGTTTCGGGTATGGGTCCAAGAGGCTTTTTTGTACGTCCCGGCATGTTACACGTGCCTACCGAGTTTCGTACATATTGGTGAAACGTGGCGCCGGGGCTGCTGTTTTTTTATCCTGTAGGACACACTACACACATGAGGAACACGGTTTTGGTATGTGAGCTTCAGGCACTACTCTACACGTGCCCTGTGAATTTCATATTCACAACTATTAGGGTATTCGCACAGTGATGTTTCATGCAAAAAGAGCGCCAGCTAGTGGCGTATTTTGTTTTTCCTTTTTAAGGGAGCCTCAGGGAGCCAGGGGGAAGCATCATACCAAGTTTCATCTTAATCACACATACCGTTGTAGAGATATAAACTTCTTCATTTTAAAGAGCGCCACCTAGTGGCAATGGCCTGAAATTGTGCACGATGCTTAAGAAAGACATGTGGAACTATGGACCCAAGTTTGGTGTCAATCGGACATACCAATGTGGAGAAATGGTCCACTTCCTTTTTGACGAAAAATTTACTGGAAGTTGGAATTTTATAGCGTGCTTATTTTTTGAAATTTCAAAAAGGTTCAAATTACTTTTTTTGCCAGGGCGGTCCCCAGGTGGTAGGTGAAAAATTTCGTGCTAATCGGACAAAGCGTGTAGGAGTAACACGTAAAAGTAAAAAAAAATTCTAGGCGGAAGTGGGCGGGGCTTATATGGGGAGATCCAGCTCCATTCACCGAACGCGTGGGTATAAGTTTTTTGAATGTGCGACAAACTATGCAGAAGTTATTAGCCTAAACGCATTTTTTATGATAGTAGCGCCACCTAATGGCAGACCCGAAAGCAACGCATGTAATATCCCCATTTTCACCAGGCCTGACCACTTTGCCAAATAAAATTGACTTTTCGTATATGTTCAGGGGGTCAAAATCGCAGTCAAAGGGGGCTAAAAATAATAATAATAGTTAAGAAGAAGAAGAAGAAATCAAGCAAAAACAATAGGGACCTTACCGGTCGCTGGCTCGGTCCCTAATTATATATATATATATATATATATATATAGAGAGAGAGAGAGAGAGAGACAGAGAGAGAGAGAGATGTATATATACAATATATAAAATTAACAGTAGCTACAGTAAACGGTGCAAACAGTAAACAGTGCAAATGGATGTGCAAATACAGGTAGAAATTGCGTGTGGGGGGTCCAGTAGGGAACAGAATACAATGCTTTTATCCCACTGTATATCTCCTTGTTTCTTTTAGATGAGAACTGGCCAGCCTTGTGGACTGAGAGTCAAGCTAGGGAATTTAAAAACACTTTAATTGACTTGTTGTTTACTTGTTGTTTACTTGAGTATTTACATTTTATGCTACTTTATAAAGTAGCATAAAATGTAAATACTCAAGTAATGTATCAGTAATGTATCAGTTAATGCTACTTTATACTAGAAATATTAAGTACTTTTTAGTCCACTACATTGATTTAACAGCTTTAGTTACTAGTTACTTCTCAGATTAAGATTTTATATAGAAAACATGTGATCAGTTTGTTGGCTTGTGTTGCTTATAATAAATTGTGTTACTTATAATAAATTGTTCATTATACATACCCAGTCTTTCAGAATGCTTTCAATTATGTGTGGATGCATGTAGCCGACTGTATGCGTTAGTGAGTGTGGTGGTGCTTATGGGGTGTCGGTCCGGGACATGTGTGTACGAGGACGGGAGGGAATCATCACAGTATACCCACTACAATAAACTAGACTACACCACTGGAGGAAAGAGTTTTTGAGTCTGTTGGTGGAGCTGGACTGGGACAGCAGTCTGCCACTGAACACACTCCTCTGCCATACTTTTATTTATTCAATAATAATTATATTTATATTTCAATTCTTCAATAATCCCATTAAAATATTTCAGTTTCCATTCAAAGCATTCTTTGTCAATTTAGTTCAACAACACTGTCTGTCCTTCTGTCTGTCTGTGTCTGTGTCTGTGTGTTAGTGTCAGGGGCTGGGATCTGTTTGTCAGGCCTTCCTTTTCAGAAACATGTTTATTTTTGTGACTAGCTATAGCTACATGCTAGCAAACAAGCTATCTAGCTAAATCCAGGAGAAGAGGGGCTTTGTGGCAGACACAGACTGTATTTGAAAGAAGGATGGGCCTAAACTACCCAACAGGATATCAAATAGTTCAAATCAGATCCACCTCAACAACAGTCAGTTAATGATCTAATAATATCATATGTAATAGTGTAAAACTCACAGTTTACTTTTAATACATTTGGTTAATTATACTCAGTGTCACCTTAAGTTTAATAAAGGACCTCAATGTCAGTGTCAACTGAAAATAACATAAACCTATGTTATGATCAATTCAAGGTGCACGCGAGCTGTCCATTGGTCCATCATGAAAGGGACTGCAGTTATAATGATGGTCTTATCAGGTCAGTTCAAAGTTCAACTCTCACCTTCATTTGCATGCAGTACCAACAGCCCTGCTGGTACTGGCTACTGCTTAAGGCAAGAACCCTTTGGCAGTAGTGGGGGCCCGTCAGAAGATAGAAGACATAGGCATAGTCTGAGGACTGCAGTTACACCCTCTGCCACTCCACCCCACCCCTCGCTCTGCTACAGGTCTAAAGTGAGCCTACAGACTAAAAATGTGCTTTCTAATATTATTTATGCATGCCTCTCTTGTCTCTGCCATGTTGAATACACACATCACAGTTACTCCATCATATGTCGCACACTCAGTTGTTTGTGAGGAGCCAAACTGTAATGAGTTTATCAATGAATGCATCACAATAATTGTCTTTATCTTTTCCACAGGACTGTGTTTTCTACCTTCCTGTTTTCCTCGTCTCTACATCTTTGTTGAACAGCCATCGACCTGGGCTGAAGCTCAGAGCTACTGCAGGGAGAAGTACACCGACCTGGCCTCTGTGCACAATGAGCGACACTTGGCTCAGCTCAATACACTTTTAGATAATAATCCCAACGTCTGGATCGGACTGCAAGCTGATATTGAGGCATGGAGGTGGTCTCTGGAAGACCCGCGTTACTATGGTGAAGGAGAGGCTGACTTCAGGAAGTGGGCCCCGGATGAACCAAATGGTGTAGGATACAACAAACTTTGTGTGATGATGTTGGCTTCCGGTGAATGGGCGGATGCCGTGTGCACAATGGCAATAGATCTAATTTGCTACAACGGTAAAAACAGCCACAGTACTTGGGCACAACAGTGCTTTGAGCTGAGAATGCTAATATCAAGCTAATATGTTCAAATTGACAAGCAATACCTGATCTCACAGCACAGCTAGGCCTTTCCCCTGTATTGTTTATTTTGTCTGTTGATGTTGTGATCGGAAAACAATGATTTTATCTGCAGTGAAACATAATATGAATGAACCACAGTCAAATGTCATAAGTAACAATCAGTCCAACAGTTGTCGAGATATTTCATTGTGGACCAAAGTAGTGGACCCACAACTGACCAACTTTGTCATCCATAGACTAAAAAGTAATTATCACTGTTGTCAGTCTAGGTAATTTGGAGAACCCTATGCACTCTTAAACTGAGGTGAGGAATGTAGTCAGTAACAATAATTATGTCTGCATGTGGTTGGTAGGTTTTTTTGTGGGTGACCAGACACATATCTTTTCAATAAGTTACGGTACCAGTATGGCACAATCTCTAAAGTAGCATTGTTCAGACATTCATATTCATTCAGCATCATTGATCTCAACACTGTTCAAATATTTTCAGGCACGGCAGGAACAGAAGACACTTCATCAAGCTTCATCTTTGTGAATGGACCCAAGACCTGGAAGCAGGCTCAGAGTTACTGCAGGGAGCACTACACGGACCTGGCCATTGTGAGGAACCAAGCTGAGAATGACCTGCTGAACAGCATGACCCAGAATTCATTCACATGGATTGGCAGCTACAGAGACTCATGGAAGTGGTCAGATGGGAGTACACATTCATTCAGTAACTGGGCTCCATCCACAGATCGATACACTTGTGCCGTTTCACACTTGGGCAAATGGTATAACCAGGACTGCAACAACAAGCTGAGCTTCGTATGTTACGTTGGTGAGTACTGATTTACAAATTGTCAGTTGTCAATTATAAATGGAGCGAAGCCTGCAAGCTAGTTCAGGCAGTCAACTCGAGCTGCTTGGATATACACACAACATTATTCCATAATCACTAACCAAGCGCACCCCTTTAATCTGGCGGTATACTTAAGCTGCACAATTTCCCAGCTCTCCCTCTGCTCTGTCAATGCCGCTGTTGCCCTGCATCCGTATTGCTGCCTGCTGCAGTGTAAGCCCCACCACCACCCCAGCATCCACCTGTAGGCTCCGACTGGGGGTTAAGGTATTTGCTCATCACTCCCCAATATCTCTATGTAAAGATATCTGCGGGGAGTGATGAGGTCGGAGCCTAGACGCCAAAAACCTAAATATGCTATACTGCTGTAATAAACATGAGTTGGCTGACTGAACTAGGGTTTGGTACCAAACCAATATGGCACTGGTTCCTATACAACCGTTATCTACCGGACTGAATCACAACACAGATGTCTGTGTCTTGTTTCAGTACCACACCTGTCTATTGACCTGTCTATTGATGGCAATGTGTGCCATCTCAAGTTAACGTCTGGTTAACTCTCTCTATATGCCTTTAGCAGCAGGTAGCGTTAGCTGCTACTAGTTACCTTAAACAGCTTAAAATACAGCGCTAAAATACAGAGCTAAATGACCTAAAGTGTGACTATATTTTAGAATTCCAACAACAGTCCAACAAATGTGTAAAAACAATTGCATGTAAAGGGGGAAGCATCTGGCGACACAATACACTTTGAAAGCAGAGGGATGTACCCCTGCTCGTCCGCCTGTGTGACCCCATTCCAAGCATCAGTGTGAGTGTGGGTGTCTCTGGCCCTTGCCATGGTGAGCATAGATAAATGCTCATATAGCGTCTTCGTAGTCTTCCGACCATTCAAATTATTTTACACTACTGTCCCATATCATATTCACACACATTAACACATCGGGAGTAATTTGGGGTACAGTATCTTCAGAGACGACTGATGATGGCTTTTGAAGTTAGAGTTGAATACCAACTGCAAATTTATTTAGCTGTTATTGGTACTGTGACTGTTATTTAATGTCAAATTATTATAGCCAGGTTAGGTTTATTTTTTGTGTGAATTTCTTAAGTATACTTTTAACTGTTAATAGTTGATATATTTATTTGAAGTACAAATTTACTATAGCAATAAAAAAAAAGCTGTTCTTTAATGTTAAATGTAAACATTAAAATAATATCTGTTCAGGCACTGTTTAGGCACTAGTACTATTTTAAAAGTATTGTTTTTGCACTGGTATCAGAAAAAAACCCAAACAATCCCCAACCTTTATTATAATAGTTAGACATTCACAGAAGCCTTATGATTATTATCTTACATTTTTACAGTTCATATGCAACATGAAAATGCTTTTCTTCCCTTGTATGTAAACAGTTCCCGCGATGAAGAAGCAGGTGGTACAGGTGGTGCTGAAATCGTCTGTGGACATGGAAGACCAAAAGGAATACATCTTGCAGAAGGTAATTTTGTTTGAGCATGATGCCAAAATACCTGTTTGAGGTGCTTGTAGAATGCAAACATTTGATTAAATTTGAGATAATAGTTGTTAAGAAATCAGTATACAGTGTATGTTCTTCAGTTTGGGATTGTCGGCTGCTGCTTAGTCCCATCTATGATTTGAGTGCACTATGCACCCTGTATCTCATTCCACCTCCTGATTTAACTCACTCTGTATGGAGTGCTGAGGTTAAAGGACAACCTGTTGCTCTGAGTTTGAAAAGTCTGGTCATTTGCCCAAAGCCCACCCTCTTGTATTTCTCAGTTTAAGCAGGGACTGAAGGACCACAACCTGGATGAAGATGTCAAGCTGAGATGGGTGGAGCAGCCCGACGGAAAGGTCTTCCACAAGACAAACACGGACAAGAAGGAGGGCGAGAGCTGATGCTGTAAATCGGTCGTTCTCAACCAAATCAGGCTGCAGACCTTTATTGGATAAGATTGGGAATCTCTATCTTATAAGATTTTGTTATTCCATGACTGTCCATGCTGTAGATTGGAAAATTAACAGTGAATAGTGTGAAATGTATGAACAGAACAGCAATTCTCTCATTGCGCTAACTTTTAGTCAATGAAATAATAGTTAAATTAATATATACATTGCATTTAATTGCACTGATTCTTTTGGTTGCAGGCTGAGCATCCAACATCTTCATATCCCTGCAGCTGATTTTACGCATTATGATCAGTTCCCTGCTCACAGGAGTTCAGCTCAGCCTGTCCTCTGTGGCTCTCGAGGAGCTTTGTCAATTTTGACAAAATAATCCTAAAAGTCCACTAAATTTATAAAAGTGCACCTCTAAATCACTGGAATAAAACATAACCCTTAGACTTCAACATGCTTTTTCTATGTCTATGGCTATTTCTTTTTTGTATTGTATTGTAAAAGCTGTAACATAATTAATTTTGGTGAAATCATTAAAGCTTTTAAAAAAACTTAATATATAAATATTATATTTTTCTTTCATATTTGCTGAAACTTTCACTATATCCTGACAGTAGAACATGAGACAGGTAATCTGTGAAGAAATGAGGTTCCTCTGGCTCCTCTTAGTGCTCCTCATGGAATTTGCATGAATACACCCTACCCAATACAAACTTTTTGAGTCTCATTCCCAGGTCAAACCCAATCAAATACTGACGCTGGGAATGAAACTCAACAGTCAATTATCGTAATTAAAGTGTCTTATCTTTCATGGCTCTGATTGGTTGTTTTCTTTCGGATACAATGGATTCTTGCAAATGCCATTAGGAGCACTACAAGATGTCACCAGCATCTCTGACCAAAACAATGGCATTACAGTTGACCAGACTCCACTGACTAAACCACCTGATAAGATAATCATAAAACACACTTCAAACTGGACAAAAACAAAACTGGCCAATAACATCTTGGTAAGTCTTTCCACACGCTTTCCAGCAATAATCAATTCTGGTTTGGTGAACATAAAACGCTAATTCACCAATTGGATTGACCAGTTGGATGAGAAAAGGTCTGCAATGGTAAACTGGCTAGGGCTGCAAAATATGGTAAAAACATCAAGTTGTGATTGTTTTGACAGATTTTCTGGGTGTTATAGCAACACAAAAGATAGACCTGACAGAATCCCAATACAAAAAATAAAGTCTCTTTACATATTTGAGCTGCACTATGTTTTGGTCATAACTTCATTAGATGTATACTTTTTTGTGTGTCAATACAGATCATTCACATTCCCTGATATTTAAACATCTTGATACAATTTTTGACCTTTTTACTTTTTCTTTCACCCATAAAGAAAATACAGTGCATATGTAATCAATAACATGATGGAAATGAATGAAAAAGAATAAAAGAAAAGAAAAACAAAGCATGATCCATCTAATATTTCATTAATTTTACATTGTATAGCAAGTCAATTATAACTTAATTTAAATAGAGCCCATCTTTACTTTTTCCATATTACATATTCTGTGTTTCCAGACACTTTCTTGGGAGGTTCAGTTTTTCCCCAATCCCTTGTTATTTGCTTGAGCACTGTAATTCTCAGAATCCAAATAAAATAATTCTTCTTTTTGAAGGCTTTGTGGTGTTCTCCCAAAAGTATATTGTTTCTCTAAGTTCAACACTCACAAAATCTGTTCTACTGTGTGTAAAGTATCTAACCAATGGGTTTGTATTTTTTTTACATGTAAAGAAAATGTGTGTATGGTCAGCATTATTTTCCCCACATTCCCTCCAGCAACTGGAATTGTTTTGTGTATACTTGGATGGTGTTGTAAAGTATCTTATATTCATCTTCCTAGCATATTCCTGCCAATAGGGTGCTCTTATATAGAAGAAAATAACTCTGAATCCACTCACTACCAGATATAGTTGTTTTCAGTTCCTTCTCCAATTTATCTTTAACATAGTATAAGTTTTCAATTTTATTGTCCAGAAGTATTTGGTACCAGTTGTGTTTTTGCGGTTATGGCTTTACCATGTATCAAAGAAGAGGGGGAGGTCTTGAATTAGCATTTTTTCTCTCAAATAGTTATAGAAGTGATTTATTTTATTTATGGATTTTCTATATTTTAGAAATAATGCACGCAAATTCAACCAATCCCTGTATATTCTGCACAACCTTACGTTTTTGTCCAGTCACTGCAACTTTTCTGCAAATTTGACCAATCATTATAGTTTCTGGCAAGTTTCACCAATCATATCAGTCCCCTGCTCAAAACGTTGAACCATATTTTACCAAACTACTAGTTGTTCCTTTCGATTTTTAATGAATTATTCAAAAAATTTCATTTGCAAAACAAATCCTAAAAACATTGCAACATGCAGTCCAAAAAAAGCCAGCAAAATGCTGGGGGGACTTTTTATACAATTGGTAAAATCTTGTGAGGCCCTTAGTTTCCCATGTCTTGAAAATATTATCAGTACAGTTTGGAGTAAAATCTGGGTCCCTTAATGTTTCATTTAAACAGATAGTTTGTTGTGCCCTGACTTTGGCTGTGTTATATGTTCCTCACCAGATTTTAAATGTGTAATCTATAGAATTGTGTGTTTAGATCTGTCATTTTTTTAGCTGGAGAAAAGCAAAGTGCTGAGTGCTTACACTAAATTGAACTCAATGAGCTTCTATTTGGGACATTTCTCATGATTCATTCATATTAAAATTGTTTTTACCTGTGCTGCATAATAATAATTAATTAAATGATGTAGCCTAATGCAAGCCCCCTTACTTTCCCTTTTCTTTTGTTCTTTCCGTCCCATATAATTTTTCTCAGCATCTCCTCCCAAACAATAAAACATGTAGGTATAACAGGTTCGGAAATAGAAACAGAAAATGTGGCAAAATATTCATTTTAATAACGTAATTTCTTTTAACAAGTCATGCCTCATACTCTTCCAACAACAAATGGACACAACAACCTCACATTCATTCTATGAAGAAAAACATCTCTAGCTGAAAACAGATGTATTAAATAACAGCAAACCCTGGAAACAAAACTGCATTAAAAACACCATCAATTTAGTTCAGAAATTAAATGTAGTATAATGTCAAAAATGTAGGCTGAACATAGTCTAGATAACAAACAAAAACAACAGCTCTACTGAAACTAAATCATTTTCATATGAAAAGCTATTGTAGGCAATTATGGAAAATAAACTCATGAGTTGGTGGTGCAGCCCTCCTCCTCTTCCTCTTCTTCGACCTTGTGGAATACCTTTCCATCAGCCTGCCTCACCCATCTCAGCTTGACGTCTTCACTCACGCCATGGTCCTTCAGTCTCTGGTTAATCTGAGAAGCAGAAATATTTATTGTCTCAATATGTTTAATGAAGTTTTCATTGCTATCTTAAAACACATCCTATACATGAAGGTCAAGAAGTAATGTGTGTGTTCCATCATGCATTTTCTTCCATCTTGGTCGTCTCGTCTCAGTGCTTTTATCAGGATGTGGGTCTGTTGCCTTTTGTGCTCATTTGAATTTGAACCTCACTGTCAGTTTGACTAGGTGACACTGACATATAGTATGTGTTACAACAAAGGGAAAATGCCTCAAAAAGGTTTTAAGCTGTATTTTTTATTATAACTCTCGATACTTTTACTTTTTTTATTTTTACTTTTAATGTGAATCTTGGCTCTGTGCCTGTGCAGTATAAGGCTCTGCTCTGTTAGCAGGCTATAGTGTATATTTAGGTCTATAATCCAACGTGCATGTGCTGTAACATATTTCCAGGAGGTTATTGCTTAATGTGTCCTCACTTGTCTTTTTTGTTTGTTAATTTGAGATAGTACAAAGCCCCAGAAGGACTGCAGCCTCGGGCCCCATGACTATCTAGTGTAGATTGGATAGATCTCACCCTTGTCTCTGTGTCTGCCTCTGTTACTGCGCCTGTCTCCTTTCTACTTTTTCCACTTTGTTTCTACCCCCTACATTACCTCAATACCTCAGATCCAGTGTGTCAGTCTATCTGTCCACCAGATGGCCCCATTGGTTTTGATTGGAGCAGTTTCCCCTTCATTCATTTCTCTCTGCATATTGAGGCTATAGTCATCCTGTATCTTGTGCCAGCCTGTGTTACTGTCAGAGGTGAAAGGTGTATTTATGCAGTAAAGGTAGCACTACCCCAGTGACTGCAGAAAATGTACAGAAACATTATCAGCAAAATAAGTGTGACTCACTCGTTAATCAAAACAAATACTCAGAGTGTATGACCTATTGTTTTTAGATATGGTATATTTTTATGTAATTTTTTTCTGAGGTAAGCACCATATTTAAATTTTTGCTAAATTTACAAAGTAACTGGTAACTATATGTGGCTAGTTCATAACATGAATACAATATAACACTCTAAAACATAGTAAAGTAGAATAAGGTACCAATAACAATGTACTTGAGCACTTAAACATCCCCTGCAGAAATGTATTAAGACATATACAAATAGCTAGTTTAGAATAATAATGTTAGTCTGATATGTTCATGTTGTGATCTACTACTTCTACCTCTTTAAAACTTACTAACTTTTGGACACTAGTTGACAATCCAACGATCAGTTGATTAACTAATTAATGCATACTGGCACAATAGGATTGTTACTACATGGAAGGTAAATGCTCCCTCTGTAGATAAAAATAGCTCATTCTAAGGTAATGAAAAAGCAACCCTTCCTATATTCAAGTGATTATAGACATACCGATTAAGGCATACTATGCAGTTTTCCAGTTTTGTCAAACAGCTCCCCCTAGAGTCGCTGCGGAGAACTTGTATTTAACGTTAACTGTCGTAAATACCACTCACCAGAGCCATCTCTATATACGGCTCTGCGTCTCTGCACTCACGGCCTGATCCCCTCCCCCCTGTATACCGGTACATGTTCAGTAGGATGAAAGCGTCAGACATCGAACAGGCAAAGATAGACTCCGAAGATGTCTACTGACCAGGTAACATCTGAGTGAATGCCTGCTAGTGTCTTCCATTGAGGCTGCTTCTTATGTTGCCGATGTACGTGACGTCGTGCCGTAAAGCAATTTGCGATTCTCGTGAGATTTGGCGGGACGCCACCTTTCAGACTTGCATTGCTGGTTCTGCCCTCTCCTGCTTTGCTATCAGGATGATTCGCTATACTACGAGTTCGTTTACCATCGAAATGACTTCGAAGCTGTTATATTAAGGTAAAAATCTTGCATAGTGTGCCTTTAATATTATATTCCATTTCTACCAATAAATCTTCCTAAATGTTACACACTGCACCTTTAAAGGCTATATTCACCAAGTACACAAAACAGCAAAGCAAAGCATACCCATGCCCATTCAAGGGATAGGATCTACCAGGCAGACCAAACACCACAATCCGACCAGAATGGTAGATGCATAGCCTCCTACATAATATGAATCTGAAGCATTTTCTGCCTTATAAGATATAGAATTGGGTGTTTTAAATTAGAATAAAAATAAATTTAATTAAATGAAAAGCAATGAAATTATAATTATGGTAAGCGAGGGTCCTGGGTTGGGTACTTCATGTCACCCCATAAAACCAATTGCTGTTAGCCTATTATTATTATAATAATCAGTGTTTCCCACAGGATTTTGTGAGACTATGGTGGGTGGATGTCTGACCCTCTAGGGGGGTCTGGGGCATGCTCACCCGGAAGATTTTTTTTTACATTTTAAAGTTAAATGCATCAATCTGGTGCACTTTGAAAGCAAAATTAAGAGGCTAGATCTATAAAGAACTGTATGCTCTTGCAAACAATTGAATCATAAACACATTGGTTGTATAGATAGGAATGGTGAAAACACAAAATCAACTAGAGCATACATCTGAGCCATCAAAGAAATTAAGCAAAAGTGGTTACCTGTGTTGAACTAGTTTATTTTTTTAGCAAATAAAATAATAAATAATTAAACTGTAAGCTAAATTGTAATAAAAAATAAATTGGATTCGGAGGGTACGTCGTCAGTTTGTCGTTAGTTGCAGCCTTAAAGGGGAGACATGGCAGGCAAAAACATTTTGGGTTATTTTGCTTCCATAACATGTCTTCTTTCAGACTAGTGGAAAAAAAACATCCAAAACACACATTTCTACAACTCTCCCTACATCCCTTTTTGCAAACTTAAACTTAAATTTGGACATTTAATTTTCCTTTGAAAAAAAAACAGTTCTAATGCCCTTTGGTAGTTAAATTCCTCTGGACTCGGCCCATTGATGGAGACCCTCAGGCAGGCAGCCAGGTGCTCTCCTTGCAGCCTGTTACAAAGGTCTGATTTGACCTGAAAATGAAGGTAACTACAGTTAGCCAAATGAATGAAAATATTTTGAGCACACTGCTCTTTTAGTTAAGAAGAGGATGCAGTTTATCATGTAAGTGCAATAGGTTAAATGTTTGGCACACATCTCAGCAACATAGTGCCATGCCCTCTGTCCTTTACAAACATTCCCAAACATTAAGATTAAAACAGTAACGTTAGTGTTACTTCAACTTTATTAACAAAAATAGCCTGACGTTACATGGTGAGGCAACTTGCTCCTCAGATGCTGAAAATACGTTAGTTACAAAGCTCGCGGGGCTCTCTTCCGCGACGCCTTGTAAACGTTGAGTTAACTTACGTTGTCAGAGCAGCTGGTAATAACAAAGATTCTCTATATACATTTATACTTTCTGAACCGTCTCTGGTAATAACATTAACGTCAGATAATTAGCTAACGTTAGCTAGCTAGATATAACGTTACATACTTTTTCACGGCAAGCAGCCGGAAAAATATCAGTCGACATAATCGAGACTGACAGCTAACATCGCTAGTTAACGAACGTTAGTTAATTATCAATAATAAACTTTTGCAGTAACGTTATCTGTTTGCTGTCGTACATTGATCAGGATAAAATTGGGTTTGAACTAGTGGATACTGTTAAGTTTGTTAACGTTTCTTACCTCAAACGATGTGGTGTCCTAAAATGCCTTGACGTCTCGGATGCTGTCAGGTAACGCTATATATATTCCAGTGTGTGTGTGTGTGTGTGTGTGTGTGTGTATGAGTGTGCGCGTGCCACGTACAGCAAGGGGGGGAGGGGCAGAGCCGACTGACGGGGAGTGAGAGATGCTTTGCTGAAGCAGCTGCGCGAAACACAAGTTACAGATCTTTTATGTTATTATGAGAACTATAAGAATTTTTTTGGGTTAATTCTGAGTATTTGTCTAAGTAATTAATGGGAAACACTGCATAATTATACTCATACATAATTACCTTCTGTAAGACGACTTTCTCCATCTGTTCCAGGTCCCTCGAGGTGCCTGTATTAGTCAGAACCACCCGCACTACCTGCTTCTTCACTGGCACTTTTGAGGAAACAGATTTATATTACAAAATGAATATTGAGTTAGTAAATTTTTTTGCATATTTTGTATATTGAATTTATGAAAACAATTGTAGACCTCAGCTCACCATCGTAACAGACAAAGAACCAACGAGTGCTGCAAGGCCATTCCTCCCATTTGCCAGAATACGAAGTCACACATGGTTCAAGTAAACCACCATTTGGTTGATTTGTATCAGTATTCCAGTTACTGAATGAATGTGCGCTCCCATCCGACCATTTCCATGAGTCTCTGTAGAGGCCGATCCACAGGTCTCTGCCCCCAGTTATCTGTTCGTTCTCAGTTTGGTTCCTCACACTGGCCAGGTCAGTGTAGTGCTCCCTGCAGTAGCTCTGGGCCTCAGTCCAGGTCTTGGACTCATTCACAAAGACGAAGTCTGAATATTTTTTATCATACATCATTTTTACATCAAAATTTTAATATAAACTCAATTCAAATCATATAATGTTCAACTGTAGTAATCATTATGTTCACAGGCACATGTTTACCTCCACTATAGGAGATCAAAATATAGCGGTATTTGCACCAGGCAACGTGTTAATTTTGGTGGATTGAGCTGGTTCCTTCTTTTGACAGAATAAAGACTTGAACCCATAAATTGTAACTTGCAGCTATATTTTGATCTCCTATTGGGGAGGTAAACATGTGCCTGTGAACATAATGATTACTACAGTAATGTTAACTCAGCAGGTTGAAACTATCCAGGCAGCTGGTTCTCAAACCTTTTTGCATGCCCCTCTTCAGAAATCAAAAACGCTTGTGCCCAACACTCCACAACCTTTAGGAAATATTAATGATCATAGGGGAACCAAAACTAATAAAAAAGGAAGTTAGATTTTAGTGAAATAACAGTTATAACAATATTATCTGCGGCCTTCTGGGCCCCTTTAGGTTCAGGGACCCTGGGACAGTTGACCACACATGCCTAATTGGTAATGCAGCTTTGGTTAGGGCCCCTCAGCTTTGAGCATCAGTTGAATCAGCAAAATCTAAATAATAATAAAATGTCTTCTCACCTGAACAGACCACACCAGCGTCCTCACTGTGTCTACAGTTGTGTGTCCCAAATCCTCCATGCTGACACTCAGTTAGAGACCTTTCACTTCCTGAACAAGCCACATCATCAAGCCAGATTTGTCCGGTTCCTTCACCAAAGTGGGCTGACTGAGGGGCATCCAGTGCTGTACCACAGCCCAACTCTCTGCACACCACCTTAGCATCATTTAAGTCCCAGCTGTCATCACAGACTGTTCCCCAGGTATCATTGTGATACATTTCAACTCTTCCAGAGCACCGAGTAGACCCAGACCCAGTTAATCTGAGTTGCACATCTATGAGGCACATAAGACATATTTTACACACACTATATATGGAAGAAAATGGTTGAGCTTCTAAATTAACTGTACGTTTTTGCTGCTAATGTTTAGAGCACTGCAAGAGGAGGTTGCTTGTTACAATTTAGACATATTAACCTTCAGTTAGCTAAGGCGAAGCTTCAAATCTGCAGGGGTTTTCTCGTTGATCCAACTACACCCTGCTAACTACATCTAAACCAGTGGTTCTCAAACCTTTTTGCATGCCCCTCTTCAGAAATCAAAAACGCTTGTGCCCAACACTCCACAACCTTTAGGAAATATTAATGATCATAGGGGAACCAAAACTAATAAAAAAGGATCGAAGTTAGATTTTAGTGAAATAACAGTCATAACAATAGTATCTGCGGCCTTCCGGGCCCCTGAGGTTCAGGGACCCTGGGACAGTTGACCACACTCGCCTAATTGGTAATGCAGCTTTGGTTAGGGCCCCTCAGCCTTGAGCATCAGTTGAATCAGCAAAATCTAAATAATAATAAACTGTCTTCTCACCTCAACAGTTCACACCAGCGTCCTCACTGTGTCTACAGTTGTGTGTCCCAAATCCTCTGTGCTGACACTGAGTTAGAGACCTTTCACTTCCTGAACAAGCCACATCATCAAGCCAGATTTGTCCGGTTCCTTCACCAAAGTGTGCTGACTGAGGGGCATCCAGTGCTGTACCACAGCCCAACTCTCTGCACACCACGTTAGCATCATTTAAGTCCCAGCTGTCATCACAGACTGTTCCCCAGGTATTATTGTAATAGATTTCAACTCTTCCAGAGCACCGAGTAGACCCAGACCCAGTTAATCTGATCTGACCACCTATAAAGTACATAGAACATATTTTACACTCATCATATACAGCATGGAAAACTACAGCAATTGTATAGAACTCCAAAACATATACAATGTGTACGACCTTACCTCAAGGCACTCTCAAATGACTTATAATCTATACAGTTATTCATCACTCAATGTAATGTAATGTAATTTTCCTTACAATATTCATACAGTTTCTTTTAATTACTATAGTTAAGGTTCAAACCCTGATGCGGGTAAATTTCTTATTATCATTATAATTTTTTTTCTTACCTCTGTAGCAGACAAATGGCTTTGTTTGATTGCAAATATCATCGGCCCATGTCCCTCCATTATCCATTGCAACACAGTTCTCATATCCCCCAATGTTATTGGGTTCACCACTCTTCCAGTTCCTGAACTCTGCTTCTCCTTCACCATAGTAACCCTCCATTTTCAGTGACCACCTCCAGCTGTTGCCATTGTGCAGTGACAGTCCTATCCAGACTTGATGATAACTACTTGTAAGTTCAATGAGCTGGGCCAAGTCTTGGTCATTATGTAATGAGGCCAGGTCGGTGTACTTCTCCCTGCAGTAGCTCTGAGCTTCAGTCCAGGTTTTTTCCTTTTCAACCAGGATGTAGTGATGAGGAAAACCCCCAGGTAGAAAACACAATCCTGTGGCAATGATAGACATATGCACATTTGGATGCATTTAGTCAGTTTGTACAGTTCAGGCAGTGATTTCAAGCTGCACTACATACACATGTGACATGCCTTGCTCTCCACAATCATAAACCAAACACACCCACCCAATTCTGTCTATTTAAGTTTCTTTAAGCAACTTCTTGTGTGATCCCATGATTTTATGGGTCCAACTGCCTTGCAAGGTGTGCAAAATGGGATGCACATGGTCTGGTTTCTATAGGTTTCTATATGAAAAAGTCATTCAAGGAGTGTCGGTGTGAGCTTGCGGCAGTCAAAAATCAATAGCCATGGCAACATCAAAATGTTGAGCAAATGAAGGCCGGGCTTATTCACAACAACCATACCATATATCTCACATTTAAATCTGATATAGAAGACAAAATCACATTCCTATTCTACTTACTTTAAATTGGATGTTTTGCAAAACAGCTATTTCTTGAAATATCCAGAATATGTCAGTCGAAAACTCATTTTAATTTCTTTATTAAAAAGGGTAAACAACATACCTGATACTACTGTGAAGAGAAATGTGTTCCCTTCCATGATGTGTGACTCCACAGCTCACTTGCACCTAGCACATAATGAGGTGATAACTGATGAAAGCAGGGCATCTCTTTTTCACTTTTGAATGATGTCTAACATAATCCTGTTATTTAAATATTTTGTATACATTGTTTTTGGACAGCTGGGTTTGCATCCAGACATGAGAGTGAAGAAAATAAGCGTCTATATCAAAATTATTTAGAACCATTACAACCATCAAATGCTGTCCTCACTGCTTTATCATTAAAAACAATCCTCATAACTACAACATGAACTAACATTTAACCAAACCAAACCAAACCAAACAAGAAAAAAATGCTAATTGCAAACTTCTCTTATCTTGGAAGACCAGATCAATGAGTTGTTGGACAGTAAGTCTTGCTGCCATAAATCTCAGTCACTGAAATAGCAGCTCAGGTACCTTTATAGTCATTGTCCCTTTGTGTTATGTAAGTTTCTCTTTACCGTGTCTAGTGTGTTTTTGGTAATGTATGAGTTACTGGTGAGCCTGTATATTCTACAAAAGTCAAGGTCATAATGTGTCAACTATCAAAATAACAGGATATAGTGCTGTGAATTATCTTTTTAAAGTCCTCTGGTTGAACCTGAGCTGAGTTTATTCATATGCAGTTGATTAATTTCTTGATCATAGCCACACAAATCCATCAAAACCATGCACCTACCCTTATTTGCTACCTAAACAACAACATGACTATTTTTAGTTCAGATAATATATTAAAATAGATATTATTAATTAGGAACAATTATCACATATTATATGTTATAACTGAAGCCTTACCCTGGTTATGTTGTGTAGTGTTCACTGACTACAGCGCTGACCTGGTGGAAAAGAAGTGTCGGTGTATTTTCTGTGCAAGTGACATCTGATCAGTGCTGTCCTTTCATAAAATATGTTTTGACCTTATTTGCTTATGATCCATGAGCAAAAACAGACCCTTCTCTCTGACTGACCTCTTCATGAGTATCATAGGGATCACACGTAAGTACATTTGTTTAGTCATAAAGATGCCGCTTTCCTGGAAGAACATTTGAATAACTTGTCAACCGTAGAAGTCATTTTGGAGAGCTGTCCACACTAATAGGGAAGTACCGAGGTGACCATGTGATTTAAATCAAATAATTGCAACAGGACATGGGCCTGACATGAAAAAAATGCTGTGATGTGGAATGTTTTGAAAGTACTCTTGAACTGTTAGGCCATGAGTAAGCTGATGAAGTTTGTAAAGAGTGGTAAACTTTTGAAAAGTTGTAGGCACTGGTGGACTGGTCGAAGGAGGGTGCCTAGTGCCCCCCTGAAAACAGCACTAAAGTTCCCTCTTGGATGCTCCGATGGTAGATAAAACATTACAAATTGCTCTCTAGGGTGCCCTTCCATTGGACAAAACCATAGATACAGAAAGGTAGATACCGCATTCTCGATTTTATGTTGGTCGCCATATTGGAGAGACGTCACTACTCAACTGTAAACCGTTTAATTCTGAACTGATTTTCAGGAAATATAGTTTGTTATAAACAGGAGAAATTAAACCGGATACTGGTTACTTAGAATAATTAATTAATTCACTGGGGGCGGGTCTTATCAGCTCTATACCAAAAAAACAGAGCCACCACAAAAACATATTCAAAACAGGAACTGATAAAACTAATTTAAAAAAACTGCTGGACCTGAACTTTGACACAATGAAAACAATGAACACATATACACTAGTGTGAGTCAGCATGTTGACATGGAAATTACTGTCTAACCAGGAAACAGAAAAACAGTGTTGGAAATATAATTTACCTTTGTTGAATTAGATGTTTTCCTGTAAACAAATTTCTCATTTCAATTTTTTTATTTTTTAAATTAAAAATTATAAAAAAAATTAAAATTATAATTTTTTTTAATTTTTTTTTTTTTTTTTTTTTTTTTTTTTTTTTTTTTTTTTGTTTTGTCTGTTTTTTTTTTTTTTTTTTTTTGTTTTTATGGTTTTTTTTTTTTTGGGTTTGGTTTTTTTTTTTTTTTTTTTTTTTTTTTTCTTTTTTTTTTTATTTTATCTTTGTAATTTTCCATTTTACCTTTTTTATTTTTTTTTTTATTTTTTTATTAATTTTATTAAAATTGAGTAAGTAATTAGGTGGGTAGGTATGTAAAGTTTTTTTTTTTTTTTATTTTTTTACTTAGGGTTGGGTTTTGTTATTAACTTCACCACACATTTTTTTTTTTTTTTTCACAATTCGATATCAATTCAATTCGATAGTGATTTAAATGCTTTAGATATCGATTCAGTAACAAGTAAATTATCGCTTTGGGACGGAGACTTCCGTCATGTGTTTCCGTGTTGGTATGGCGTATCGTGGTTCGAGTGTGTATACCATCTTTTTAAAACCCACGTTTTCTACAACATGTGCGGTCGTAGGTCCTTACATATGAAGATGGCCACAGACTCCATTATCTTCTGTGCGCGGGCAGAGTTTGGCGGCAGTTTGCAAAGGAAGGATCTGTCGAGTTGCGTCTATTTTGAATCCACAGGTTTAGCTGCGGGTTGCTGCAGAGCATCTGCATGGTGTCGGCTTAAGTGGTTGCGCAAATTTGTTGTGTTATTGCAGTATTTTAGTGCTGCCTGGCACAGCTTACACACTACCTTACTATTGTCTATTTCCTGTGTTCCGGGTTTACACTGGAATCCAAAATGACTCCAAACGTCTGCTTTTAAAGTTGAAGGCGCTGGTTTAACATTTGTTGTGTGGTCGAGTGCGGCCACCGTCCGTACAACGCAACTCACACAAAGGTGTTGCTAACCTCGCTCTCACTGGACAGGGGATTGAATGGATCCAGAGGATTTAACCTTCCCGCTGCCCTTGGCGGGTCTACGTGTCCTCGAATCATCCTACCATTCCTATGCGCCTAGCCGCCAGAGCCTCACCCGCGCTGCCCCGAGCGGGTCCGAGTGTCCCTGTCTCCATTCATTCTATCCCTGTAGCGCTCCTTGCCTCATCGCCTCATTCCACTGCCCTCCCTGGGTCCAAATGTCCTCGAACCATCCTCCCATTCCTCTTGCCCTCGGAGCCTCGAGACAAGAATGGGAGAAACTGCCCCAGGAGAAACAGGAGGCTCGCCGCAAGCCCCTAGCTTTGTCGTGCTCGGGGATGCGATCGGCGCCCAAATGCGTTGGAACAGAAAAAAAGAAAAAGGTGTCGAGCGAATAATCCTACCTTACATTTGTAAGGTACATTTTCTTGTCTTTCTCTTTCTTAAATGAAATTTGTAAAAATAGATCTCAAACAAACTTTTTCACCGCTTTGTCACACTATGGAGCATTGGCCGTTGACTTTTTCGGGTGAAATACTAAACCTTGACTGGAAACTTGAATAAGGATGTAATGGGGTAAACGAAACGTCGAACCCGTGAAGCTCTGTGAATACCTAGCATCATATTATTATTATTATTATAATTATTATTATTACTATTACTATTATTATTATTATCATTATTATAATTATTATCATTATTGTTGCCTTATTGCTGCCTTATTGCCTCATTCGCGCTGCCCCTAGCGGGTCCGAATGTCCCCATCTTCATTCATTCATTCATTCTATCTCTCTCGCTAGCCTCATTCATTCTATCTCTCTAGCGCTCGATGCCTCATCGCCTCATTCGCACTGCCCTCCCTGGGTCCGACTGTCCCCGAATCCTCCTCCCTTTCCTGTTAACCTCTAGCCTTCGGAGCCTCGTTCGCGCTGCCCTCGCAGGGTCCGAAGGTCCCCGAATCCTCCTCCCTTTCCTCTTCGCCTCTAGCCCTTGGCGGGTCCTAAAGTCCCCCGATCATCATACCATTCCTATGCGCGCTCAGCCCTTGGAGCCTCATTCGCGCTGCCCTAACTGGGTCCGATTGTCCTCGAACCATCCTCCCATTCCTGTGCGCGCGCAGCCCTCAGAGCCTAATTAATTCTATCTTTCTAGCCTCTAGAATACGTGTTGGAACAGGATGAACAAGAAGAACAAAAAGAAGAAGGAGGAGGAAGGGAAGGAGGAGAAGAAGAAGATGAAGAAGAAGAAGGACAAGAAGAAGAAGAAGAAGAAGAAGAAGAAGAAGAAGAAGAAGAAGGCGAGAGACAGACTTCCTAGTCCAAAGATGGAAAAATCAAATGGTCCTCAGTTTGTTCTTCATCACAGCGATAGAAAGGCTCATCCTGGAGATGACCAACCTGGAGGCCCAGCGTCGGTGCGGCATCCGAGCACAACGCGGAAACTGACCAGACTCTGGGTCGGTCCGTCGTGCAAGGAGATGGCCAAGACCGAGCTGCGCGCTTATGTGGGGCTCCTCATCTTGGCGGGCGTGTACAGGTCCCGAGGCAAGGCCAGCCTGTGAGACACCGAGAGCGGACGGGCAATATTCCATGCCACCATGCCGCTCAAGGCATTTTACGCGTACTCGTTGCGGCCAGCCTGTGGGACACCGAGAGCGGACAGGCAATATTCCATGCCACCATGCCGCTCAAGGCATTTTACGCTACTGTCGCTGTTTTTCGACGACCGTGAGACCAGAGCAGCGAGGCGAGCCTTGGACAAACTCGCGGCCGTGAGACAGTTGTGGGACAGGTGGGTCACGCGGCTCCCATACCTGTACAACCCGGGGCCCGAGGTATCGGTGGACGAGCAGCTGGTTCCGTTCAGAGGTATCCCTGGCTTATAGTTCTGTAGAATAACATACATTTTGTCTTTCTCTATCTATTTATCTATCTATCTATTTATCTATCTATGTATCTCCCCTACGCGCAGGCCGCTATCCCTTTCGCCAGTACATGCCCAGCAAACCGGCCAAGTACGGGATCAAATCATGGGTCGCGTGCGATGCGAAATCCAGCTACACCTGAAAGATGCAGGTGCACACCGTCAGCAGCGGGTTCGGGGACGGGGATGGGGTCTGCGTCTGGGTCTGCATGACCTCCCGAAAGGAGCCAGGGAGCCCGCAATGTCACCTGCGACAATTTCTTCACCTCCTACGAGCTCGGACAGCAGTTCCTCGAGAGGAACTTGACCATGGTCGGCATGGTCAGGAAGAACAAGCACAAGCTCCCTCCAGCGCTGCTCGGCACCAAGGGCAGAGTGGTCTTTTCACCTTCACGGGTACCACCGCTCTAGTCTCGTACGTGCCCAAGAAAAACAGGAACGTGCTGCTCATGAGCACGCTGCATGTGGACGCCACCATAATCAGCGACCGCTGCGACCGCAAGCCCGCCGTGGTCCTGCACTACAACAGCAACAAAGGCGGCATGGACAACCTGGACAAGGTGATCGCCATGTACAGCTGC